CATGTACTCAAAGAAATGGGAACTCAGGCCTGAAGAGCCTGAACCCAGAGGCTGCTAACAGCTGTCTTCCACGTGGCCAAAAGCTGGCAACAAGCCAGAGAGCCGTCAACTGGGGAGCAGATAGAAGCCACTGGTGGTAAAATCATACAATGAAATGTTCTTCAGCAATAAAAGAGGAATTAATAACAATTACATATAATAATAGAAGATGAATCCCAAAAGCATCATGCCAAGCGTAAGAAGTCAGACACCATGACTACATGATTTGATTTAGATAAAGCTGCAGAAAGATATAGTGATAAATATAAAGATCAGAAGTGGGTGTCTAGCCCACCGCTTCAGATAAAGCTAGGGCTGGGGTCCAGCTTCAACCCTAGCATCCAGCTCATGTGCACCGTGGGAGGCAGTGAGTGACGGACGGTCAAAGCACTCGGCCCCCTGCCACTCCCTGTGGGAGACTGGGATTAAGTTCCTGGCTCCTGGCTTTGGCCTGTCCAGTGCTGGCTACTGCAGGCATCTGGGGAGCGAATCAGTGCACTGAGGGTGTTTCCCTCTCTCCACCTTTCAAATAAAAATTAAAATCAATAGGGGCTGGCACTGTGGTATTATTGTTTGCGGACATTCCATTTGCACATAGGTTTTCCGCTTCCCATCCAGCTACCTGCTAACACACCTGGGCAAACAGCGTAAGATAGCCCTAGTGCTTGGACCCTACACCCACACGACAGGTCGGAATGAAGCTCTTGGCTCCTTGCTTTGGCTGCCCAGTCCCAGCTATTGCTGCCATCTGCAGAGTGAACCAGTCGATGGAAAATCTAGCTCCCCACCCCACAACTCTTCCTTTCAAATAAAACCTTTTTTTTTTTTAATGCAATAAAATCCCAAGGTCGCCAGTCATGGCCACAGAGCCGTGTGGGCTGCAGGGCAGCAGGCAGCAGGGGTGAGGTACCTGTCCCCTGACTGCACGAGAGACAGACTACACAACTGAACACAGCAGTTGAGACGCCTCCCACTGAGCAACAAACATTACTACAGCACGTAAATAATTCCTAACAAAGTTGATTTTTTTTTTAAACAGGTTAGAAGGAAAAAGCAAAACAATGGTCACAGTTCTCACTGACGGAGTCTTCAGCGCGTGCAACTGCTCCAGGTACTTTACACGCACTGCCTCACTGAACCATCTCAACTTGCCACCCACTGGCTCACCCAATGCAGAGGGACTGAGAGGCCAGTGTTGCAATGTGAGGGTACAAAAGTGGTACTGGCATCCCAGGTGAGCACCAGTTCAAGTCCCAGCTGTTTCATCAGAAATGCTGAAATTCACAGCTGCAGGACTTTCTTAGACCTGAGGCTAGGTCCCCCTTGTTTCAGGACAGGAAGCAGTGCTTCAGGTCTCTATCTGCAACAGTTGCAGAGTGGCAACAACACAAGAAGCCTCCATGGTTAAATGTATCCAATAGGTAAACCTCCACCCACTTTCCCCCTCCTGGAAGCACACCGGATACGGCCTGAGTCTTGAACTCAGCCAAGACCTCAGCTTGGCTGTCTACACCCAGACTCTGCCATCTCAGCAGTTCTACCACCCCCTCAATTAGCCCTCCAGCCTTCAGGGCTTACAGGAAAGTCTATGGGAACCACAGGCTCTGTCAGCATACAGGATCACTACAGCTCCTTTGCATATACTGGCAAAAAGCCGTTACACTACCTCTAACGTCAGGGTCCATCAGGGCCTGCCTCCCACTGCAGTGCCCGTTTCTCACTCGGGCCAAAAAGTCAGAACCAGAATGCCTTCAAATGCTTCCTAACCAAAGTACGCACAGCATCAAAGTGGTGCTTGGATTCCTAATGTAATAATAATAAATATGACCCAAACCATACAGTAAAGCTCTCAATCATGGGTCTTATTCCTACCTGGTCCTAAAAAGACTATGACCCCTAACTCCAACATTCCGCACACACTTACTGAATGCTTTAGAATTTATCAAAAGCATAAAGAGATCACATTTCCTAATCTTTTTTTAATTTATTTTTTATCGGAAAATCAGATATACAGAGAAGAAGAGAGACAGAGAAGATCTTCCATCTGATAATTCAGTCCCCAAGCAGCTGCTATGGCTGGTGCTACACCAATCCAAAGCCAAGAGCCAGGAAAAACTTGTGGGTCTCCCAGGCGGGTGCAGGGTCCCAAGGCCTTAGGCCGTCCTCCACTGCTTTCCCAGGCCACAGGCAGGGAGCTGGATGGAAAGCGGGGCTGCCGGGATTAGAACCAGCACCCATATGGGATCCCAACACGTGCAAGGCAAGGACTTAAACAGCCGCTAGGCTTCCGCACCACCTACTTTTCCTGATATTAACACTTCTCTTGGTCCTGCACAGTTGATCAGGGCATCAGAATACCACGCGTTCTGCATCACCTGAGCCTCATCATGCACTAAGTCCCTCTGCTCCAACACGTTTACTGGCTCACCAGCTTCAAAACTGATAAAAGAGAATGATTTCACATCAACTAAACCATAAATCACACTTTCAGCAAGTACTTTCCAAGGCATAATAGAATATGCAATAGTTGCCGATTCTGTACAGAAGGCCAACTTGATGGCATGCTTAGGATCCATTCACAAACAAACCCATTTCAAGTGTTGCCATGTTAGCTACAGCACCAATACTGAGAAGTTCTATCATCACAATACGAAAAAGATCATTGCAACACAACTTTTTAAAAACAATTTATTCATTTATTTGAAAGACAAAGTTGGAGGGGGGGGACAGGGAAGGAGACAGAGAAAGATGGATCTTCCACCTGCTGGTTCACTCCCCAAATGGAGTTAACAACTGGAGCTGGGCCAGTCCAAAGCCAGGCGCCAGAAGCTTCTTCCAGGGCTCTGACAAGGTACACAGGCTCAAACACTGGGCCATATTCTGTTGTTTGCCCAGGTACATTAGCTGGAACCAGAATTGAAAGTGGAGCATGGGCCTAGCGCCATGGCCTAGCAGCTAAAGTCCTCGCCTTGAACACACCAGGGATCCCATATGGGTGCCGGTTCGTATCCTGGCAGCTCCACTTCCCATCCAGCTCCCTGCTTGTGGCCTGGGAAAGCAATCGAGGACGGTCCAAAACTTTGGGACCCTGCACCTGCGTGGGAGACCTGGAAGAAGTTCCTGGATCCTGGCTTCGGATCGGCGCAGCACTGGCCATTGCAGCCACATGGGGAGCGAATCATCAGATGGAAGACCTTCCTCTCTGTCGCTCCTCCTCTCTGTATATCTGACTTTCCAATAAATAAATAAATCTTTAGAAAAAAGAAAGAAAGTGGAGCAGCCAGGATTTGAACCGCACTCATATGGGATGCCAGGGTTGCATGCTACACAACACCAATCACAATATTCTTATTGTATCACCTATCTTTGCGGTCTTTTTTTTTTTTAATTTATTTATTTGAAAGGCAGGGTGATGGGGAGAAACAGAAAAGGAGATATTCGATTTTCTAGTTCACTTCCCGTATGGTTACAATAGCCAGAGTTGGGCCAAGTTGAATCCAGAAACAGTTGCACCTTAGTTTTCCCATGTGGATGGCAGGGACCCTGAGTCATCCTCACTGCATTTCCAAGTGCACTAGCAGGGAGCTGGGTCAAAGCACAGCAGTCAGGAGTCCCCCACACTCCAACACAGGACACCAGTGTGGCATCTTACTCATGGGGCCACAATGCTCAAATGCACTCTGTTGCCTGTTCCCAAAACAATCTCAGAATTGTTTCCTAAGGGAAATCTTAGTCCTGCCCATGGAATCTTTAAAAATGTATGCTGGTTGTCCCAACCTGGGGCCCGGCATGGTAGTCTAGTGGCTAAAGTCCTCGCTTTGCACAGGTCAGGATGCCATGTAGGTTCTAACCCAGCAGCCCCGCTTCCCATCCAGCTCCCTGCTTGTGGCCTGGGAAAGCAGTCGAGGACGGCCCAAAGCCTTGGGGCCCTGCACCCACCTGGGAGACCCAGAAGTTGTTCCTGGCTCCTGGCTTCAGATCAGCTCAGCTCCAGCCATTGCAGCCACATGGGAAGTGAACCATCGGATGTAAGATCTTCCTCTCTGTCTCTCCTGCTCTCTGTATATCTGACTTTCCAATAAAAATAAATAAATCTTTTTAAAAACTCACTTTTTAGAGCCCGGGGAAGCTGCAATTTTCTTTATATATGATCCTGGATAATCTTTTATTTTTTTATTCAGACAAAAACCAGAGAAATGAGGAGATGGCACCAATGCTCTCAACGGCCAGGAGCCGCTGAGCTGAGTGACCAGGACACCACGGCTGCTCCTGGCGGTGCCTGCGCAGGACGCTCATCAGAAGCAGCATGCGTCTGCCACCCCGGCAGGGCAGAAAAGGCTGTTACCCACGACGTCAGAGTCCCACCTGGGTACCAGCGCAAGTCCTGGCTGCTCCACTCTCGCTCCAGCTTCCTACTGATGCTCCTGAGAAAGCAGCAAAGCATGGTCCAAATGCTTGGAAGTACTTAGGTCCCTTGGGACAATCAGAAGAGACTCCTGACTCGTAGGTCCAGCCATGTGGCCGTTTGGGAAGTGAACCAGCAGATGACCTGTCCCTCTCTCCTTCTCTCCGGAAACTCTGTCCTTCAAATAAGTTAAATATGCCTTTTTTCTTGTTTTTTTTTTTTTTCAAGTGGCAGAACCAGGCCTTTAATGCATATAACTTATAATGGAGTGTGTATATCTCGACTAAGGACCAAATACTTGCACCACACGGCCTGATGTGTTGACCAAAGTACAAAACTAGAATTTCTCGATTTACCGTGTCTTCTGCATTATTCTAGATAGAAAAACGGGGGAAGGGAACGGGAGCGATGTATTAGTAGTCATTTTAAGTCCTTAAAAGAGAAACACCGCGGGTCAAATCACCAAGTTCATTCACCGACAGTGTACAACGGCGCGGTACGGCACAGGTGTGATCGGGCAACGAGGCCAACACGCCGGCGCCCGCTTCCCGCTTACCTGCTTTTCCGTTTTCGAGGCGGCTTCTCCACCGTGCCCGTGATTCTACAGACCAAACAAACAGTCTGTCACTCCAAGTGCCAGCTTCGGACCTCGGGGTCCCCAGGGGCCGGGCAGCAGAGGCGCTCCAAGCCCACCCCGACCTCACGACGCCCTGCTTCCCACCCTGGGACCCGCTGCTCCCCCAGCGCCCTCTCAGCCTCCCGCTCCGGCATCCCGCCCTCGCCTTCGATGCCACCGTGCTCACCCCGTCCCCCCAACCACCCACCTCCACCGCCTCATTGTCTGCCTCGTCACCCCGCAATCCGCGCACCCCCTCCCGACCGTGCAGGGCCCCTCTCGGCCCCGCCCCTCCAGGCCCCGCGCCCCCCGCATTCCGCGGCCCCTCCCGGCCCCGCCGCACTGGGTGCCCGTTTCCCCGCCCGGCCCGCGCCCCGGGCCCCCCGCAGGCGGCCGCCGCGCAGCCCGCGCCCCCGGCCCTGGACGCCCCCCAGCCTGCCCCCCATCCCCCGCCCTCCGGAGTCAGCGCCCCCGGGCCCGCTCGCTCGCCCCCGCCCTCTGCGCGACCCCGGCCGCCGCCCCACCTGGGGGCCAGGCGACTCCGCGGCTGCTGGGGCTGCCGGGCTCCTCTGACCATCCGGCTCCGGCTCCGCCGCGGGAGCTGCTCCGGCGGCCGCAGGGCTCGCTCGGGAAGATGAGGCGGCGGAGGCTGGAGTAGGCGGAGAGGCGGGAGGAGGGCCTCGCGCCTCTGCCAAACTGGCCGCGGGGCCCGCCTCCTGCGCGCCTCTCCTGCGCGCCCATTGGCTGGCGCTGCAGGGTGCCCGGAAGCCTCGCAGCCGATTGGGCGCTGGAGCTGTCACATGCCGCGTTGCCCACCCACAGGTTTGGTTGAGACTGTAGGTGGCAGCAGAGGTGCCTTAGAGACGGCGAGCAGCACCAGGGGAGACCTGAGCGCCACCGTGCGCCGGAAAGTGGGATCTGCACCTCTGGCGCCAGACACCTGCCTGCAGGTTCTCCAGGGCTCCGCGCCCTTCATCTCACACCTGCTGCAGCCTCCCGCCTCTGCGACACGCAAAAATGCCAAGCCACGCAATTTCCAAAATTCCTCTGCCATGTGCGGGAGAGAGGCACTTCTCCCAAATAAGTTTACTTTCTCGAACCACCTCAAATTCAGTCTGTCTCTACATCTTGCTGAAATCTTAACCGCTCATCGCTACCCCTCCTCAAGAATTCAGGTATAAAACTACAAGAACACACCAAAATGAGGCACATGTCGATGTCCAATCCTCCGCAGGGAAGATCCTTAGGTTGGGTGTAATCTTTTTAAAAAAGCAAGGAATTTTTTTAAAAATCATGAATGAAAAATCAACATTGACACAGAATCGAAGCCATCATTAAAAGCAACGTGTTCCATTTTGGAGGATCCAAACAAAACCGATGCCTGTGTGCGTACTAACCATCCTGTGACACCACACATAACTAAGCTTCAAGCCAGCTAATTCGAAAATAAACTTAACTGCATTTTTTAACAAGCCTAAGCATGCAAATTTATCAATACCTAGGCAGAATATCAGTTACCTTCGCCTGGTTTAAAAAGTCTGGCACGGGGCCCGATGCTGTGGCCTAGCGCCTAAAGGCCTTGCCTTGAATGTACCGGGATCCCATATGAGCGCCGGGTCTAATCCCAGCAGCTCCGCTTCCCATCCAGCTCCCTGTTTGTGGTTCTGGGAAAGCAGTCAAGGATGGCCCAAAGCCTTGGGACCCTGCACCCGCGTGGGAGACCAGGAAGAGCTCCTGGCTTCTGATCAGCACAGCTCCGGCCATTGTGGTCACATGTCTCTCCTCTCTGTATATCTGACTTTGCAACAAAAGTGAATAAATCTTAAAAAAAAAAGTCTGACCTTGTAATTAAGGCACAGCTTACCAACAAATGATCACATTCTAAGGTGGTGAGGCCTCTCTCCACCCCTAATCCTAAATGCAATGTTTGGTCTTTATCATGTTGGAATCAGGAGGAAGACGCTTCTCTGAAGACAGTACCATTAGTACATACTTCGGGGAGCATCTGCCACACACCAACAGCTGGGAGCTGAGTCTTTCACTGATATCCATAAATGGCCACCCAAAACAAACCTGTCCTTTATTCTAGATGGTTATTTTTGTATCTCTGATGTTTACACGACCTTCCTTTTAGGAAGACTCATGGCAAATTGCCACAGCATCACTTACATGGCTTTGGTAAGGAACAAATGTTGCTGAGCCTCTGCTACCCACTGCCACTAATATTTTATAACTGTTCATGTCAATCTCAAGCCACAACGAGGGAAGAACTCCAGAATATTGTCTGCTTATGCAGGAGCGGGGGTGGGAGGGTGGTGGGAGGGCGGACCCGAGCATTAACTCACAGATGTAACCCTGAACACTGTATCTCGCATTTCTTCAAGTGCTGATTAAAATTCTCTGCCCAATTTTCCACATCTTCCATAACTGGCTGACTCCAAGACCAGGCAGTCATTCTGTCAGGAATGCTGCAGCTATTCATGTCCCTACCAAGTACAAGTCGCGTTGTGTCCCCAAGTTCTGAAAACCTGCGCTTCTGTTCCTACTCGGATTGCAGATCCCTTACTCCAGGCCATACTGAACGGACCCGTCCCCCCTCTGAATACGCCCGTGACCTCAACCTGCACGGAACATTTCCTTCCACGGATCTATCATCCTTCAACAGACCACAACAGGGGCGAGGGTTGGGCAAGCTAAAGTTACTTGCAACAACCACACCCCATATGAAGCACCCCAAGTGCTTATGTTTGAGTCCCGGGTCTACTTCTAACTCCACCTTCCTAACACACACCTTGCAAGCAGCAGGTGATGGTCTAAGCATGTGAGCCCTTACTGCCCACACAGGAGACCGGAGACCGAGACAGGGTGCCCACATTTGGGAAGTGAATCAGTGGGAGCAAAGATAAACAATTAAAATGTCAATTATATATTGGCTTGTGTTAGTGCTACTTCCCAGGCTCAGGGAAGGGGCAAACAGTGCGTGAACAGAGCACTCAACCAGAGGCGGCAACGGGCCAGGAACTGCACTCTGACGTATGTGTCTTCACGACTGAGATTAACCCAGCCCAATACCCTTCTGAGGACACAGAAATGTTTTAAGACTCAGAGAACCTAATGCTTTCAAGCTCACAACGCTACAATAACCAATACTCCTTAAAACAGCATCAATTTGGGCCGAGCACAGTAGTCCTCCTCTTGCATGCACGGGGACCCCATATGGGCACTGGCTCTAATCCCAGCAGCCCCGCTTCCCATCCAGCTCCCTGCTTATGGCCTGGGAAAGCAGTTGAGGTCAGCCCAGGGCCTTGGCACCTGCACCCATGTGGGAGACCCAGAAGTTCCTGGCTCCTAGCTTTAGATCTGCTCAGCTCCAGCCATGGTGGCCGCTTGGGGAGTGAATCAGCAGACAGAGGATCCTCCTCTCCATCTCTCCTCCTCTCTGTATATCCAACTTTCCAATATAAACAAATAAATCTTAAACACCACAATTCCCTGTGGTGTGTCCTCCAGGGTTCAAATTCCAGCTCCCCTGGAAAACCTCAGGCAAGTTACCTAACCGCTGCTAAGCCTGTTTTCTCACCTAGGTATAAAAAATAAAGATAATGTAATTAATGGATCCTCAGATAACACAGCCTAGGGCATACATGGCAACTGACCAGGTGCAGAGAGAGCGTTCGCAGCCACTGCTGCAAGGCACGCCCATGGTGGTTTTCATTTTGTTTTTGAGCTACAACCCATCCCAAAACCCCTGCTCCTCCATCCCTCTTCACAAAGGTGGAATGCAGGGAAGCACAGCGCCCTCCGGGACCGTAGGTGCGGTGGAAGAGTGTTGACATACACAGACCTATGGATTTCTGAACGAAGAGAACATTGGTGAGAACCACGCCAGCTCAAGCTTCCTCTAAAAGAGGAGGAAGGCAGACGCTGACCACGAACTGCCAGAAGATGAACCAGCTGGAGTGCAGGAAGGAGCCAAGTTCCTCAGAAATCATGTGTGCCTCCGGCAAGTCCCAGCTGCTGCCGACCCAGCGGGGAGGGAGACCCCACCCCATCACCGAGACCAGAGGGACGACCAGGCTCCTGGCCATTTGGGCAGTGAAGCAGCAGACGGAAGATCTCGGTCTCCTTTGGTCTAAATATGCCTTGTGAATAAATAAGTCTTTTTTAAAACTTCTAGGGGACCTACTGCTGTTTTACTGCTGCAGATTCTGTGAGGCTCAGCGCACACTGTAAAATGCCATCTGAAGTTGCGTCACCTCACCAAGCGAGGTTCTGGACCGGCCTGAATACTGCCTTGAAGGAACCGGACACAGCTCAGCGTCCAAGGCAGAAGGAAAAGGAGTTGCACCCTTGTCCTCCAGTCAAGCCACCAAGTAAAGGAACAAGCTTTGTTTAATTTAAAATGTTATATAAAATGCTAACTTCTTGTCAGGACATACTACGGGTTATGCAGTAGATAAAAATTAATTTTTTTTGACAAACTTCCTATAATCTTTTTATTAATTCACACTGAGAGGAGAGAGCACCCTTCATCCAAAGAACTGAAGGTGCTTTACAAATAGGACATTTTAAAAAACAGTGACATTTCAAAGTCTGCATTCTTGCTTCAATCTCTTCAGGCTCCAGGCACGGGATCTCCCGGCACCAGATGGAAAGCAATGATTTCTCTGACCATGAACGAGGCTCACCAAGTCCTGACTTGCTTTCACAACAGATGCATTTTCCAAACACTGGTGCTGGCACAGAGCAAAGCGCACGGATCGAAATGCAATGAATGAGGTTTCAAACCTTATGTCAAAAGTAAAACCCAGAGTTTAAGACGTCAGAATCTCCAACACTTCCAGACATCGCGGTAGAACAGGAGTCGATGCAGGCTGCGGATCAGATGTACTCTTGATCCGGGCTTGTCAGGATCACACGCACATGAACACGCTTCCCGTAGAGAGATTTCTCGGGGAAATGCATTAACCTAAGGGAAGCTAGCCGAGAGAGGAAGGGGAGAGGCTGGCCATTCCGAGTCGACAGTTCTCACCAGAGCCTAGGACACTTTATTTAGAAAACAAGAATACCATCATCATAGGCAAATAAAAATAGTTCTTAACCCCGTTAATACAACAGAAGGGATTTTACATTCAGACCAGATACAGGGAATGACAGACCCTCCTGCTTCCAAAGCTATAGGTTTCAAGTGTCTTCTGCCACAGGATACATAGCCCTTATTGAGCAGAGGGATCCAAATACTCCTTCCAGGCTTACAAAGTCCAATACATTCACTCTTTCTTCCCTTTACATGTCTAGCAGTAAAAACTATTTTTTTCCATGCACAAAGCCATTCATTATTCAGTTGAAGAGCTATCAGGCAATACAGAAAGGGCAGGTCAGGAATGGACAGACTGGTATTGGCACATGCCCAACGAGTGACAGACAAATGCAGTATATCATGACTTAAAAATAAACGTCACATTACAGGGATAATGAAAACAACTGCAACACAAAAAGATCAGGAGTGTCAGTCGGGAAGAGGAGGCAAAGGGTTACCGATTTTATTGGTACAACTTAAAAGCAGTGGAATGCAAGCACTTAAATACACAAGTTATGATTAACAGGGGAAAAAAATACTGCAGGGAGGGAGCTACACCAAGACCACACCAAGT